GCTGTGGGCGTTGGCATCGGCGCTGAACTCGGCGCCACTGGTACTGTACTCGGCCTCGGTGTTGTGGTCGGTCGGGCCGGATAGGGCCTGTAGCGGTAATCCATGGGGATCTGCGGAGGCACGTGCATCTGCATGGGCACCGGAATCTGCATCGGAACCTGCATCTGCATGGGAAAATGTATGGGCACCGACCTTTGAGCTGGAACTCGAGGAGGCTCCGGCGTATTCTCCACCTTGGGCGCCGGGTGGTCTCGGCGCCTTCCCCTTCTCCTTTGAGGCTGCTGCTTTTGCAAGGGACGCTCTGCGGGCGAAGGTCGCGGCACCCTCCGTGTCCATGAAGCCGAGGCGCACTCCTTCTATGGCCGAAAAAGGCATGTGGCGCGTCGGCACCACAGGATCCACCGTCGCCACCGGAGGTGTTGTTGTTGCCACCGGCGTTCCCACAGGGGCCGGCGATGTCATAGGAGCCGGCGTTGCCACAGGAGCCACAGGAGCCGGCGTTGCCAAAGGAGCCGGCGTTGTCAAAGGAGCCGGCGTTGTCAAAGGAGCCGGCGTTGTTGTAGTCGTGCCCTTCGGCGGCTTTGGAATCGCTGCCTTCGGGCCCTTCGGCGGCTTTGGGACCGCTGCTTTCGGAACCTTTGGAGCGGCAGCCTTCGGAGCGGCCCTCGGTGGAGGTGGTGCTGTCCAGATGTTGGGCGGCGCTGGCGCGGCCTTTGGCGGACTCTTTGGCGGACTCTTTGGCGGTGTGGTTGGCCCCTTTGGTGGTGTAATCGGAGACTTCGGTGGTGTAGCTGGCCCCTTTGGGGGCGTACTTGGCACCATAGCTGTTGAGCCTGGGGCCTTCGGTGGAGTCACAGGCTGCTGTCCCCCACGTATCGCGGACAACACCCCCTGCCTCCTTTCGCTGGCTCGCTGCCTGAACAGGGCTAGATCCGCAATTTTCCCCTGCATAACGACGCTCTGGGAGCTGGCTGCGGGCGCACCCGAGCCAGGAGCAATGTTGGAGGCTGTGGTGCTCGACGTTGGTCTCCACTTGCCCCAACACTCGTCCTCGTCCGTCTCCTCCTCCTGTGCTTCCACGCTCATAGGGGCCGTGCTCGGCTCCGGCACGGGAGGCATAGGAGTCGTATCCGGCTCTGGCATGGGTGGCTTGAGAGGAGCCACTTTCCCACGCCACGCGTACACAGGAGTAGTCACGACCGGGCTGTCTGGAGAGTCTTGCCTGGCCAGTGCCTTGGCACCAGCCTTCGTAAGAGCGCCGGGGAGAAGTCTCCGATCCTGGCAGAATCAACGGACTCGGCGGCTCCACCGGGCTGTCTTCGAAAAGGCTCGCAAAACTCATCGGCGGACTCTCTTCCACCTCTGCTGTCGGCAAGTCCGGCTCTGTGAGGTGAGGAGACAATTCCGGGGAAGAGACCGGAGTCGGCAGCGCCACGTCGTTGGAGAGCTCCGTCTGCTCCGCCGGCAACCCTAGAACCCGGAAGGTCGAGTTCTCCATGTCCTGGTCCATCTCGTGGTCGGACCCAGCCATCGTCCCTTACAGGTTCTACTGGGCCTTCAGAGCAAGAGTGGGCTAGGTGAGACGAAGCGACCGACCGACCAACACGCGCTCCTACGGTTTCAAGCCCTACTCCTACACCTACAGGGTGAGACGGGACAACAGAACTCACGCTTCCCTTCTCAACCGACTGCACGGAACCATCAGTAGAATCAGGCTCAACGTAGGTACAAGCTTTCAGCCACGACGTGTTGGCATACAATTCTGTCTCAAAGCGCAGACCACCCGGAGGATAGGCAACATGTAACTGAGGATCATAGTCATAATGAAAGATCCTAAAGCCTAAAGACTGCAAGATGCCTGAGCTAAGGATGCTTATCGAATTGGGGGCAATATACGCTTCCAGCTGCACTCGAATCTCTCTGTAAGCCTGGGTTCCAGAGGGCCCCTCTTCGAAACAAGGGAACCAAAGCTCTAGCAACCCATACCTAGTAATCTCCATAGTCTGGTCGTTGGCGACACTTACAAAGAGAGGCTCAACCTCAAGCTCTCGGATCAGCTTCGCAGTCACTCCAAGCATGTCTTGCGAAACAAGGTGAACACTCCCACCGCTATCAATCAAGAGATACGAGGGGTCGTCCCTAGTGACTGCAGGAAGTGCCAAAGTTGGAAAAGCAAGGCACTCTGAAGACCGAGCACGAAGCTGAGGCTGCGGCGCGGAAGCAAGGCTCAAAGCAATCACTGCTACGGCTACGCAAGCACACGTGAAACATGACTGCCGTGGGCTACTCAAGCATGCAACCAACCGACAAATCAAGCATCCTACCATGCAAAACATGAAAAACGTGAAAATCAAGGCAGTCATGGTGAAAAACTGTCCCCTCTCAGGCATTGCTTCAGAAATCTGCCCTGCCGCGGGCAACAAGGACGACATAAGGAGGGCCGCTTTGCCAATCTTCCCGGCACCCTTTGGAGCAGTGGGAGCTGGCGCCGCAGTCGAGGAAGGCGCAGGAGGGGCCACCTTGGGAGTGGCACTCTCTGTTGCCGCCGCTGCTGTCGCAGCAGCCTTCTCATCGGCAATCCTCTTCCTGCACTCGTTGGCCCAATGGCCCGGCTTGTGGCAGTAATTGCAGGTGCCCGGCTTCTTCTTCCCAGGAGCCGGTGTCGAAGATCGAGCTCTTCCGCCCTTCTTGCCACCCTTGCCTTTGTCCTTTCCCTTTCCTCCTTTGTCCTTGCGTTTGCCTTTATCACCATGCTTGCCTTGGTCCTTTCCATGACCTTTTCCTTTGGGCTCGCCACCCTTGGGCTCACCCTTCTCAGAACGATCAGCGCCAAAAGCTGCAAAGCCCTTGGCGTTCGAGGCTTCCTTGTGAAAGTTCAAAACACGAAGCTGCTCATCATAGAAAACCAAACCGCGCTCAAGCTGCTCCAAGGTTGTCAAAGACCCATGCAACAAAAGGTACTTCTTGCAATCATCATGAAGGTGCTTCAAGATGCAGCTGATAACATCAGCCTGCTGCAGTTCAAGGTCTGGGTACTTGTTGGCAACGAGCGTGCGGTAGCGAGCAAAATCAGAAATCATATGGCGAAAAATATCCAATGGCCGTCTCAAGTGCTTTGGTGGCGCGATCAAGAGAGCCTGCTCTCTGAGCGCCTGTCCCTCCACACGAGACCTAACAGACAGTTCTTTGTTCAACTCACGCCAGAGGTCGTACCCTGCAGCGGCACCGCCTTGACTCAACTCGACAAGCTTGGCTATGTCAACTCCTCGCTGAAAACCAGCGAGAGCCTGCTTCAAGAGGTACCACAGCTTAGTGGAACGAGCGGCCTTCCCCTTTGAGAGGCTGATCTGCTGAACCTGAACACCGCTCTCCACAGCCTCTTGCAGTTCCTCCGCGTAGCGGTCGTCTAAAAGACACAGCCAGGAGGTCAGTTCTTCGCGGTAAGCGGTCCACGTGGAGATCTCCTCATGGCGCGATCTCATCTTGTCTGCTGCCAACTTTGGCAGGGACGGAATGTAGTTTTCCGCCCTGTTGCTGCGCAAGCCTGTGTCCACATCCATCTTCACAACACCATCAGAGTCAACTCTGATGGCACCCAGGCTTCCAAGAGCTTCAGCGGGCGTCCCTTGGGACGAACTTGCAGCAACAGGAGCTGCACTTGCGGCCGAACTTGCAGCGTTTGCACTCGCAACGGCGAGCGTCTTCACCATCTCGGTGAGCTGCGAAATCTGGCCCTGCTGAGCTCGGATCTGTTCATCCTGGGCTTGCAACATCTGCCTGAAAAGGTTGACAGTGTTGTCTTCTGGACTAGGCACAGTTGCCTGCTGCGGAATCCCTCCTCCGTGAGGGAAAGCTGGTTGCGTTCCAAACTGAGGCTGCTGCTGCTGCTGAAAACCCTGCTGCAACGGAACCTGTTGAGGTACCTGTGGAAAAGGCACCTGAGGCACTTGACCTGCACTCACAAGAGGTCTGGGTCTACTCACAGGCCGGTGTGCTGTCGGACTGTTCCGAGCAGGGAGGGACCTTCCACGAGTCCGCGAGCCAGGTGCACTCAACTCTCGAGGGGTTGAGGGAAAGCCAGAAGAAACTCCACTGGCACGACTAGCACTTCGCCCTGAACTCCGTCCTCTTGGGGAACGGTCGCGGCTAGGCTCGGCTCGTGGGTCCATGGCTCTGAGGAGCAACCTTGAGCTCCGCTACCACGTTAAAACCCAAACGCGCCTTGAGGCACACTTCTAGGTTTAGTAAAAGGAGGTGCAAGCCGACTGACTGACTACGTCACGCAAGGCTACAGCAGTGAAAGCTAACAGCACTTTTACACCTTTCGTCGCAACCAACTGTTCACCACGCGCTTGTCACGCAGTGCAAGTCTTGAGCCAAAGTGAAACGGGGCGCGGACAGAGACTTCAGCACACTCACTTCCGAGGTAAGTCCTAAGGACTCCTAACGGCTTCTCTGCACTGGCAACTCTGCTACACGGCCCAGGTGTTCCCCGGACTTCGTCTAGAAGTCCGTTCTCACAGTAAACAAACTGAAAACACTCTGATGTTCATCATGCTTCAGGAAAGTTCAGGGAAACACCATTCTTAGTGAAAACTCGTGAGGAAAACTCCGGTTGGACACGCTTCTGGTAATGATCACTTTCACCGCAAGGTGAGACAGGAAGCGTGAGCGCAGCGACCGACAGACAGACGACTTTTCCCTGCTCCTACCGTTCACAGCTACACCTAATTCTCTAAAACTCACAAAGGAGAAAACAGAAAGTGTTCCTGACCTTGGCGAGACACAGGGGCACCATTATAGGATTGAAAATCAACTGCAAGTGAAGCAAATGGCCCGGGTGCCCCCTTCTTGCTTTGCAGAAGCAGCGGAGCTGCGCACAAAGGTCCATCCCCATCCGTCCACTCATTCGTGTAGCTGTGATGGGTCTCCACCAGGATCAGAATCTTGATCGCACTGCATCTGTGAAGCAGAAGCTTCACCCCGAAAACAAAAGCTGTATGAGACCTCCGCAGTTCCACGAGAAGATCTACCGCTCAGCATACTTCTTGGTTTTCTCACAAGAGATCACTGGCAGTGCAGGCAGCGACCTGCCGCGATATGTGGCCTGGCCTTGCGTCTTCACGTCTCTTGCTTGGAAATCTGCACTTTGTTCCCTTCGGACTGGAAAAAGCAACACCTGCGAGGCAACTAGCTGTTGCTGCTTGGAAGCAGGACGTTGATACCGCTGCGCTGGAGTTGAGCCGAATCTCTGGGAAGGCGCTTAAGATAGAAGTAACCGGACACCCTTGACGAAGGCCACGACTCATATCGCTTAGACTCACTCGTCCGCGTTACCAAGAACTGCGCAAGGTTCTTCGCTCCAGTGGGGCGCTCTCTGCGCATCGTTTTCGGCTGTACAAGGCAACCATCTGGCCGGCCTTGTGGTATTCCTTGAGTTCTGTTGGGGTCACTGGTGAGGTTCTCCGGGGAGTTGTCTCGGTTCTCAGGCCACCTTCGTAAAGTACTGCGCATCTGTGAGCATGGCATTTCCAACCAGGCCGTGATGGACCGTGCGCCGCCCTCTGCTTATGCAAGGATTGCGCGCAGCAAAGTAGGGCAGCTAATGTTGCGGAGGCCTCTGTGACGCTGGGGCCCGACTGGGCAGGTCGCATCGTGCTCTCAAACCCACACAACTTGTGCAACATGAATGCGGCGTTTCTTTCTCTTGTGCATTGCTTCGACTTTGTACTTCTGGCCCATCGTGGTGTTCAGGCGCTCCGTCGCCTGGGTGTCCAAGCGCTGTCGTTGTCTTTGGGCATGGCTCAACTCGCAGCAGATTCGCTCCGTTCTCAGGTCCTGGACTTTAGATTGTCGTCAGCACAACGTGGCTGAGTTTGCGGCTGCTCTTCTTCAAGGTCTGCGTCTTGGACAAATTGTTTGGGAAGCTCGTCGCTTTGAGGATGATGCTCTTCGGGTCATGCATTCAGGTTCTCTTCCTCTGCTTCTACCTCCGCCTGTCTGTGGCTGCATGCTTCAAGGACTGTCTTCGCGCATGGCACGAACAAGATTCCCTGCACGGCATTGTTGCCCGTCCTGAGCCGGAGCTCTTACTGCTGCACTCGGCGCTGGCCGATCACGAGCATCATCACCCTGCGGCCCAGAAGTGCCCTTGAAGTTCAAGAAGCGTCCGATGGACGTATTCTTGACGCGCAAGCACATACCCATTATCACATGCTTCGCCAAAGAGCTCCACGTTGCCTGCAGAAGCGACAGAAGGGGAGCCCGAAGAGAGTGCGTCACCTCATTGAAGGAAAGTTGCCGCTTTGTTGATGTTGGCATGCTTCAGCGACATGTGCATTTGAAGCCCTTCCCGGGAACCAAAGTACACCCCGCAAACACTGCACGGTATCTGCACAGCCTCGCTCACAGAGACGCGCACCTGTAGTCGGGGACACCTCGGACAGCAGCCACGGCAACGGACAACTCCTCGGCGCGACGTAATTCACGCTGCTTGAGCGCTGCACTGCGACCCGGGTCATCCGCTATCAGCAAAGAACTTCCGTCACGAAGACGCGTCAATTTTGGCGCATCTAAGGCTCTGTGGTGCATTTCAAGTTGAATGTGCCTGCCTCGGTGGTGCCGATGCTTTTCACCTCGGCGGGGGCTGGAGGCGCATCAAGGCGGAGGAGCCGGACAAGCTGGATCGTCCAATGCGTTGTGCGTTGCTGGTCTGTCTTTTTGCGGAGCTCAAAAGTCGCATGGAGAAGGTTGTTGAGGAGCGCATGGGAGAGATGGCGGCGATGTGCTGGCTTGCCGCTGGTCCGCCTGTGGTGTGGAACTTCATGCGCTGGGATGCTGCAAAGCAACAGCAGGTCGTTGACAACGCACGGCCTCCGCTCACCCAGGCTGAGGTGCTCGAAACCATCGAAAATCTCCTGGCCTTCACCCCACGAGACCGATGACTCAGGAGATGAAGGGACAAAACCTTGTCTTTCTCTTGCAGACGGGGCAGCATGGTGTTTGGTCGGCCGAGATGCGTGACGGCCTTCGTCGCTTGTGCCACTGCTCAGTGATGCATCTTCTGGCGGCGCAGCTAAGGAAGACAAGCATGCGCGTTCGGCGCTCGCCAATGCCATTGCGGACTATCTGACGCGGCACTCGTGCTAGGGCGCGGCTGTTGTCCACCTTGCATTGATGCCTTCTTAGTGCGTGATGGAAGCGAGCTTGTGAATTTTGAGATCTGCTTGGCAGTTCGCTGCGAGATCCTTTTGATCCTTTTGCAGTTTATGTGGGTGCGAGGGTGCACCTCTGGCCTCGGAAGCTGTGCATAGAGCCGTGTGCTTCCTGTTGGCGCCATCATGTGTCTCGACTTCGAAGTGATTGCAGCTACGGCACTTATGGAGGGCCTGCTCGGTAAATATGCTGAGTGCCTCGTTGCTCTCGCGCGCTCCGACCTCCTTCTTGGTGTGGGCTGCTTCCTGTCCAGTGCTCTGAGGCTGCTTCGACATTGTGGTCGTGTGTCACGCGCTCGATGCCGTCAGCCATGCTGGTCGGGGCCTGGGCCCCGTATCTGCTCTTCAGCTTTCAGTGATGGCGCATGTTGCTGTTGTCCTGCCGATGGAGCTTATTATGCAGCCGTTCTGGGTGGAGCTCGACTTCAGTCTGCTGTGGTAGGGGGCTCAGTGTTACGGCTGGGCAGTGGATGCACTCCTGACGAGTGCTTGGCCCCGCGCGGTTCGGCACGGAGCGGCCCTTCTCTGTGATGCCTTCCTTCCTTACGCTGATGGGCCCTGACCTGGAGGATGAGCTCTTGGACCTTACTTCGGACGTGGAGGGTGAGGAGGATGCGGAGGGTGTGCCATTACGTTCTGATATGCCTGGGATTGCCGTCGAGGGTCGTGTCTCTCTTTTGGTGCAGCCGTCGTATGTGTATCACGGAGTCTACTGCACGGGCGCTAGGCCTCTTATGCAGGTTGAGGAGGACCTCAAGCTGGAGTTTCTGCAACAGGATCTGTACTTGGTACGTGGTGTGCAGGCTGATAAGCTTGCCTATCCATCCGACGATCCAGCTGAACTTCTTGCTTTCGCTATGGTTGTGCATGGTCAGGCATGCTGGCAGCAGATGCTGAGGTTGACCCGCTTGCTTCCCCGGGACAAGAATATGAGGTGGGTGCAGTCGGACACGTTTGCCCATCAGCCGCATCGCTTCACGGCTGGAGCGTGGAATCGTGGCCCCATGACGGGGGTTACTCTTACCACTCGCTCACACCCGTGGGTGACGAGTGTCTTGGCGGCGAGCATTATTTCGACCTGGGATGACACTTTGAGCTTCAGTACGGTGACTTTGACACTCAATGTTTCAGCATGCCCGCATCGTGACCGGTTCAACCACAGTGATTCACGAAACATGGCCATGCCCCTCTCACGCTTCATTGGAGGCGGGCTCTTTGTTGAATCCCCCGAGGGCCTCACTCGACTAAGTCCTGATGGCCCTTGTGGACACATCCTGGAGATGACTGCTCCCACTTCGTTCTCGCCTAGGGTGCTTCATGCTAGCTTGCCTTGGTGGGGCACTCGACTTCTTCTGCTGGCATACCACATTGGCCAGTCGACCAGGAATTCTGAGGTTCATCGTGGTGCTCTTCACAACGACTGGGTTTTGCGCTTGGGTTCCTCTGAGTGCTCTGGAGCGGATGCAATCGGTGCGGAAATAACAGTTCGCTATCTATGTGGAGCTGCTTTCATGTTATGCCAGTGGCAGCGGTGCTGCCCCTTGCTGAGGTCATGCTTCGCTTCATTTCTACGTCGGCCCGACTCCTGGTGGCTGCGCGGCTCTTCAGCGCATGCGTCTTATGACACTGGTGCGATCTCAGGCTTCAAGGGCTGTCGATCGGCCTACGGTCTCTTCTGAGAGCTTCTTCTTCTGAGGGGTTTTGTGCATAGCGGGGATTCCTCGAGGGCGCTTGTTCTGTGCAGGTTGAAACCGCCCGGATTCTCAATTCCCATTTCAATTCCACTTCCTGATTGCGCTTCCACAGCTTTTAATATTCTCTTGCTGCATCTGCTGCTGAGCTTCGGCTCGGGCTTAATCATGTGCTTGGCCCCACGGGGCGACGTGGTGGTGCATTTTACGTTATTCCTCCGAGGTTGTCTAAGATAACGCTGCAATGCAGCCGGGCTCATGGAGCTTGCTCGCTAGCACGCGAGGCGGACCCCTGGATGTTCGTCGCGAATGGAAGGAAGGAAGGAAGTAGAAGTAGAAGTAGAAGTAGAAGTAGAAGTAGAAGTAGAAGTAGAAGTAGAAGTAGAAGTAGAAGTAGAAGTAGAAGTAGAAGTAGAAGTAGAAGTAGAAGTAGAAGTAGAAGTAGAAGTAGAAGTAGAAGAAACAGTAGTAGAAGCAGTAGTAGTAATATAAGCCTTCTCGCTTGCGAGACAGCATTTTATTTCCCAAACGATTTTCTGATTTGCAGTGCTGCGATTTTGCCATGTGCGATTTCTATTGTGCACCTTTTGTGTGATTGCACCGCTTTGCACAACATGTTTTGCTGATGCGAATCAGTGTTCTCTGTAGCATTTGGGCTGTGTGCAGCCGTGAGAACGATTTTTGTGAGGCCCCGCTAGAGATCTGTACTGCATCTAACAGGTTCCGGGTGCTATCACAAGGCTGCTCCCTAGGAGCCCGTGCACGCCCCCTCCACTGGGAGGGCGGCAGATGGAAGAGGCGGGCTCCGCTTCCAGTGGTGCTTCTAGCACCAGTGATTACGAGGTGCTGTCCCAGCACATCTGGGATCTTCAGTTGGAAGTTAACACCTTGCGTGCTCAGCTGCTTCTGTTGCAAGAACAGGTCAGGAGCTGCAGGCATCGCACAGCCAATCCGCAGTGCGCCTTACCTGGATCGAGCAGTGGCTGCAGAGAGCCCAGCGAGCCTTCCGGTATTTTGTGTCTGATTAGACTCCCTGCCTGGCTAGCTTCCAAGGGGGTGTGTCCGCTTAGCCTTTTTCATCATGTCACACAACAGTGTTATCGATGATGCAGACATCGACCGCTTGTTGCTGCATGCGCGCACCAGTGGCATCGTGGACACTTTGCCCAGGCTTCCCTGGGAGTCTGGGGTTATGTCGTGCATTTTCGGCAATGGCACTCTAGAGCATCCCGTCTTGCGGCAACCTTGCCCTCCGGCATTAGAGGATTCTGCAAACCCGGCCCCTGAGGATGTGCCGTGCATACGTGTCAGGTCTGCCCCGTGCACACTCTTCGAGAAATCCTTTTCTGCGAGGGCCGATTTCTCTGCCCAAGCTGAGGACGATCACCTTTGGGTCTTAGCGATCAACAAGTGGTGTTGCATCTTTAGCTTAGCTCAGAGTGACCCTGGGCAGGTCGGTGAGCAGGCTGCTCAGTGCTTGATTGCAGAGGGTCAGTCGGCCAGGGACGAATTGATTCGGGATGTCTTCGGCATTAAATCCCCTAGGACTGCGATCAAGCGTGCCAATTCTTTGCTTAGGTGCTTGAGGTGGCATCTTAGAGAAAGGCAGGCCGCCTGGCCCTGGGACTGTGGCTCATTTACCGACTTTGTAAAATCCCTTGGGGTTGGTGCAAGTGCAGTGGCAGGTCTCTTTGAAGCTGTGAACTTTGCACATCATGTTATGGGCATGCCGTTTTGCAAAGAGATCCTTGAGGACCGCAGGTTGCAGGGCCGTGCCAAGAGGCTTGAGGGCGAACGAGCAGAGGTGAAACAGCAGGATCCTCTCACCGTGGAGTGTGTTGCAAAACTGGAGAAGCTTGTGGCCAGCAACTCTTTGTGTGATGCAGACACTTATGTGCTGGGTGGGATTGTCTTCTGTCTGTATAGCCGCTCGAGGTGGTCCGATCTTAGAAATCTCATGTGTATATGGGTGGACTTTGAGAGCGACGACCAGCAGTCTGGATTTGTAGAAGCGAGGACCCGTGATCACAAGACCAGCAATACAGTCAAGACGAAGAGGCGTGCGATGCCTCTGGTGGCCCCGTTTCCCGGGGTCACTGATGCCAACTGGGTGAAAGCCTGGTGGAATGCCGGGCTTCGTCTCGGTGTGCAGTGGGATGCAGATCCCTTTGGGCCTCTGGTCCGTGCCCCAGATGCCGAGGGCCAGCTGTGCAAGAGACGGTGCACTTCAAGCGAAGCCGGTGTGATGTTGTGCAATGCCTTGGACCTGGATGGAGACCAGAGGCGTACGTCGCATGTCTTGAAGGGTACGACTCTAGCTTGGGTTGGCAAGCGCGGCTTCGGAGAGCGGGATAGCCTTCTTCTTGGTCACCATGCTCCGGGCTCAGGCTCGTTGGCATGCTACAGTCGGGAATTGTTGAGCGCGCCCCTTCGCGCATACGCATGGTTGCTAACCTGTCATACACACAATGAGCGACTGCAAGAGGGCCCTCCAGTGGCAATCCTGACAGACGACGCTTCTGAGCATCAATGCGCATGGAACGCTCCGATGCCGGCAGTTTCCTTGGCACCTCGTCTGTAGCCTGCATCGAAGATCTCAGCTCAGCCACCGTCATGGTCTGAGATTCAAAGATGAGCTGCTTCAAAGCGGAGCTGTCCCCTAAGGTGATTCTGGCTCCCGGCCGGAGGGTCAAGATGAAAGCATCCATGTCATCACTCGAAGGTTGATTCCCCGGAAGCGTCACAGCATAGCTAAGTTTCCCTAAGGTCGTGATCCCTGATTCTTTCAAGGCAGTGACCCACGGGGCTGTCAAGCCTGCACGCTCGCACTGCCTGTCGAGGGCAGCTGTGGAGGTTAAGAGCGAAAGCGCAGCCATGCCGACTAAAGAGCACAAGCTCAGCGAACTACAAAACACCAACCTCCGTGATTGACACACATGCAAGTCAAAGAGCACCTAACATGTGAGGTACAGTCCAATTAGGAGTAGCATGTAGTGTCGCATGCATGTTCATGTCTCCCTCAGCCAGAGCGCACTCGCAAAAGACATGAACTCACAACCAGGGCACTCCCTGGGATGCGCACACGCAACACACAATGCCATCTACTGCATTCAGGACTTGAGCAATCTCCACTGAAGCTCCAGAGCCGCGCACAGCAGAAGGCACTCCAACTATGCACCACGGAATTTTCACGCACCGTCATTACGGTTCATAAGCTCATCAAGCCG